CTAAAAAATAAATAAATAAATGATAAATAAATAAGTTTATGAAATATTTACTTAAATAATATTTCATTATTTTTCTATGGTCCTAACTAAAAGTAGTACCAATTTCGCAAATCAAGTTAAGTTTAAACATTTTAGCCAAAGAATTAATTGTCGGATAACCGCATATTAGCGGACATTTCGGGTGCTTTCAAACCCTTCCCGAAATGCTAATAAGAACCTCGAACCCTTTTTAAGTTTCACTAGATTTCTGTTTTAGTCTTTTGAAAACAACAGTTTTCTTGATTTTTTCTGAAAAATTAAGTGGAGACTCTTAAATCAGTCCAAAATACTATTTTAAATAAAACAATAGGCATAAGCTAAGATTGATAAAGATTCAAGGCCAACCGCAACAATGTTATAAGAGTAATTCAATAAAATAGTAACAGCCGGAAATCGACCTACATACACATTCTAGTCATGGTTGAAAACGGGAAAAAAAAATAGCAACTTAATATAACCGGAACTCTATCTTTTACTGGAAGTTAGCAAGAACAAACTATGAAACAAGCCAATACTGCAATACTAAGGGTGGAAAATTAGGATTTAGACGAGAAAAGTAAGTAAAATTTAATCAGCCACATCAAACAACAAATTACAGTTAGAATAGGAAAGGACGCAAAAATGGAGAAGTATACCTTTTCCGGAGCAGCGACTGGACGACAACGAGCTTGAGAGCGGAGACTCTTCTATTATGAAATCTAAATACAACAATAGCTAGAAAATCTAAGCGTCGATCTTCTTGGAACTTAGAATCAGAAAGCTAGATATAAAATTCTTAAGTTTAAATGTTTATCGTCAAATAATCGAATTCTAAAATATGTCAAATCCAATTTCCAAACTTGTTCCACCCTCCTCATCAATGTAAAATTATTTATAGAGGAAGTTGGGGTGATTTTAGGGGGGGAAACTGTTGAGAAAAAAAAAGATTCAAAACGTTTTTTTTTTTAATTTTTTTCCTCTTTTCAAAGGCAAACAGTAGGAAGTATGGAGATTTCTGACAAAAGGGGAAGAGGGGATGGGATGAGTTGACGTCTGTGGATTTCTCGCTGAATTTTCTGGGTTTCGTTTGCAGCCTTTTGCTTGAGTTCTTGCGTGGAGAGAAGAAGAAACAGAGCGGGGCGGCGTATGTACTGCTGTACATAATGATGTTGTATGTTATGTATGTATTGGTGGATATGGGTTGGGTCTTTTGGAGTTGAGAATGGGCTGAAGTTTGGATGAAAGAGTTTGGTGTTGTATGTATTTGCTGGAATGGGTTTCTGGAATTGAATTGGTGGGCTGCTATGGGATTTGGGCCGGCTGGAAGGTTGCTGAAAAGGATTGGGAATGGGCTGAAAAATGGTCCAAGAAGTGGGATAAAAAGATAGTTGGATTTGAAAATAGGAAATGGCCACATGAATTAATGCAAATTATGGCCAATGGAAATTAAGAAGTTAGCCAAATTGAGTTTAACTTAGGGATTTGACTAAAATTTAATTAGGATGAATTAATATTGATTAATTAACAAGCTTCTTAATCTTAACAAAATAAAATAATTAACTCAATTATAAATTAACTACTCAAAATTATAACCATAATTTAACCTAAACTAATACAATATTTAACTAAAAATTGTAAAATCTTTTTGATGATTTTCAAATATTATAAATTAACGTGATTGTGGAAATATACGTATTCATTATTTTAAAATTATTACAAAAGACAAAATTACTTTTAAAAATAACTTGCAAGCATTTCGAATTTCATAAGACTCATTAATTCAAAACTACAATCATCACTAATAAAACATTTAAAAATAAAAATCTTTTTGAGGTGATTTTTTGAATGTAAAATACATTAATTGTACACATAATTATATAAAACATATATATCATTTACAAAGTGACGAAACTATTTAAAATGACTTGCAAACTATATTTATTTTATTTTATTTTATTATCTTTTTTTTTTAATTTTTATAAAACTAATTACTTTAAATCATTTGAAATTGAAGAAGCTCGACAATTAATTTATATTTGCAGGGTCAAAATTGGGTGTCAACATTGGGTACACATTGTTTAAAGAATACAAATTAGTTTCAGCTAATTGATATAGTATTTTATAATATATGAAAAAACACCCTTTTGTCAACCAATTAAGGTTAAATTATTGGTACTTATATAGAGAATTACAGACTAAATTCGAGTGGCAGAAAATAAAAGAGGTTTTAACCCTATATCTAGAAATATTAGAAACAACAGACTTAACAGACAAACTTTATAATCACGGGGGTCTATATTCATCCAAATCGACCAACATTAGTCAATCTAGCGCTATTAAGTGCATTTAAGTGGGAACTACATAGCATAGAGAGTAATATTCAACACGCAATAGACGCATAGGAGTCCAAAGGGAACTAAATTAGTAAACTAATAGTTTCTTGGACTCCTATGCGTCTATTTGCGTGTTGGATATTACTCTCGATGCTATGCAGTTCCCACTTTAATGCACTTAATAGCTCTGGGTTGATGAATATATAAAACATATATATATATATATATATATAACATGTATTCTCTAAATTATACTACTACTTTTTAAATGAGTAATTATTATATTTTTTAAATTTTATGAGATTATTAAACAGATCAAGATATTCCAAGTTTTAAAATAATCCTGGATAATATGAATCCTTTGAATTTTCGCCGAATTTCTTTAGGTTATATAGAGTAGTTAATTTCCCATAAATTTCTATTAAATAAAAAGACATTGATAGACACAAATACCTATTTGCCTATATGTGGCTGTCCATCCTATTCATTTATACCTTTTCCTACAAATGTAAATGCTTCTTTTGGTCAGAATGGGGAGCTAAGATTTTTTTCAAGAATGTTCATACTTTTGAACAAGTAAAAAAAATAAATTTTGTTGTCATTTCTATTTCTTTTTAACTTAAATAACAAAATTTAAAATTAAACAAATGTCTAATTTTGGGCTCAATCCAAGTCCCAAAGTTAATTTGAACGGCCTTAACTATTAGGCTATATTTTATTTACTTTGTCAAGGGTGTTATCAATTAGTATATATTCAAAAATATCGATATTAATATATATACTTGCAAAAAAAAATCTGACGAAGATTGTTCATCTGACCTCCCTTAGGCTAGATGTAGCTCTGCCCTTGTCTCAAGTCCTCTAGTACCTATCTTAGTTGGTCAGTTTCGAGGTACTATCCTGATTTTTGTACTATTATCTTCTAGAAGTATTTATCTATCGTGCATTTATTTTTTAAAATTATATTCTTTACATTTTTAAAAATCAATAGTATTTTAAAATATAAACACTTAAAAATCTAAAGCTCAAAATTAGAGTTAAAATAAAATTGTTTGACTTTTGAAATTCGAAATATGTCATATAGAGTAAGATAGAGAGAGTACTCTCTTAGTTCACTTTTACTTGTTCATTTTCAACTTTTCATATCTTTTGAGAAATAAAGATCAACATGAATATTTTATCAAATACTTGTACTAATTGATGTATGCTCTTAATTTTGAAACTGATTTGAAAAATAAATAATTAATGTTGAAAATAAAACATGAAAAAATAGACTAAGCGAAGAGTGACCTTTTTTTTTCTCTCTATATAAACTACAATATGTTCCATTCATCTCCAACCCAAAATACAATATTTCCATACTCTGTTTTTTAACATTTGCATACTTTGTTTCAACTATGGCCTCTTCCAACGACAACAAGAACAACAACAACAATGATGGCGTCATCGATTTTCTTCCCATTCTATCGATCTATAAAGACGGTTGAGTAGAACATTTCTACGAACTTGCTGGTGTACATGAAGTTCCACATCGCTGGAAGATCCAACGACTGGTGTGTCATCAAAAGACATGAAAATCTCTTCTCAGTCTCCGCTAGACTCTACCTTCCAAAAACTCCCTGTCCTAGTGTATTACCGCGGCGGAGGACTTGTAATAGGATCTGCATTTTTCAAAACAGAGCATTATTACCTCAACCATCTGGTTTTCGAATCAAATTGCATAGCGATTCTATAGATTACTGTCTTGCCCCTGAGCATGACATCCAGACAATCCAGGATTGTTGGGATGATCTTCAGTGGGTCATATCACACTTTGTTTTTGATTACCGTGGATTGAAAATCACGGTGATTTCAACCGTGTGTTTGTAGGGGGTAATAGTGCTGGAGGCAATATAGTTTATATTATGATCATGAGAGCCGGGAGGGAAAAATTGATCGGAGATGTGAAACTTTTGGATGCAATACTTGTTGACATTATTAATTCATCATCAACCTCTATTAATGATATTAATTCTAAAAGAGAAGAGTAGAGGAGAAGTGGAGGTAATGGCGGCAGAAACAATATACAAGGATCCTAAGTCTCATTTTCAAATTTCACTAGCTGTTTGGATTTGCCTACAAACAAGACACCTGGCATTGTCCATCCGTTAGATCATCTTGTGCTGGATATAATCCTCTCCACACATTAGAAACAATAAAGGAAGAGGTCAGTGATCATCAAATACAATTGGTTAGTTTGTTAGATTTTAGTCCAATTAGAGATAGACAAGTGTATAAGAGTATTCTTTTGCTTCTTTGTTATTTTTCCTATATATAGTTGTACATATTGAGAAGAGAAATACACAGAGAAAAATTTCTCCATTCTACTTCTTTACAGTTTGTAATTCTTCATGGTATCAGAACAAGGTTAATCCTTTGCTCATTTTCTTCTTCTTCAGTTCTTCTTTTTCCTTGAATCCAAATAACACCTGATGTTGTTGTCACAAATACTTCTGAGGCATTGGGACTCAAGCAGCCCTTTCTTTCTTCATGCTTCAGATCACCAGGGATGACTCTACTCAACTCCACCTTCGATGGAAAAGGATATGGAGGTTGGAAGAGATCTGTTTTGATAGCCCTTTTAACTAAGAACAAGTTGGGCTTCATTGAATGGAACTATCAAGCTCCAACATTGGTTCAGTTAATCACAAGCTCTGGGGAAGATGCAATGACATGGTAATTTCTTGGTTACTTAACTCACTTTCTAAGGAATTGCAGGTAGCGTCCTTTACTCTAATTCTGCGAAAGAACTCTGGACAGACTTGGAAAATAGATTTGGACAGGCAAATGGTGCAAAACTATACCACTTGCAGAGAGAATAAATGATCTTGTGCAGGGATCCCCTGATGTAGTAGGATATTTTACTAAGATCAAGCTTCTTTGGGATGAGCTGGATACTATGGACAATAATTTTGTTTGCTCCTACACTTGTACCTGTGAGGGAAAGATAAAAATGTTCAAATCAAAGCAAGATGAAAGGCTAATTCAATTTCTTATGGGGTTGGATGAAACATATGCAGGTGTAAGAAATAATATTCTTATGCAATCACCATTGCCAAATGTTAATCACGTTTATTCCTTGCTAATTCAGGATGAAAAACAAAGAGAGGGTTATGCTAGCTCTAACTTTCCTGTTGATTCTTCTGTTTTAATGGCTGCACAACAGAAAAACCCAGGACCTAACAGCTTTCAAGGAGGTTCTGATTTTAGAAATAGAAAGAATACTCTTATTTGTTCATGTTGTAAGAAGCCATGTCACTCTTTTGACAAGTGCTACAGAATCATAGGCTTTCCTCCGGATTTTAAGCTTACTAAAACTAAGAAATCATCTGGAATGTTTCAAGGAAACTCTGTTATGGCAGAAAATGGAAAAGGAAATGGTTTCAGCACAAAAGCAAGGAATGAAGGACCACAGTTCACTCATGAACAAATTAATCAGCTGATGCAGCCTCTTCAACAAGCTAAAATCACACAACATATGTCCTCACCTTCAGAGGTCAATGCTAACATGTTGAACTATGCTGGTAATATTTTCCATAATCCTGCAGTGTATCTTACATATGCTAATTCTAGTTCTTGGATTTTAGATACATGAGTAACTGAGCATATGTCTTATGACTCAAAGTTTTTCACATCTCTTCTTGCCTTACCTTTCCCCCTCATTGTCAATTTGCCTAATTCCTACAAAGTGAGGGTAACTCACAAAGGAACAGTCACTCTTTCTCATGATATTATTCTCACTGATGTTTTATTTGTTCCTTCCTTCAGAATCAATCTAATATAAGTGCACAAATTGTGTGTGCAACTGAATTGTTTACTCACCTTCTTTTCTTCTGATTGTGTTTTACAGGGCCATTCAGTGAAGACCCCTCTGGCACTTGGTGATGTTGTGAATGGACTCTATCATCTCAACACTTCTACGTTGTGTTCTCAGCTTTTTAGTTTCTATTTGTTCTTTGTATTCACCTAAGGATGTCTACTCCAAATGTAATTCAGTTTCTACTCCTATAAGAAAGCAAAGTGATGTAATATTATGGCATATCAGACTGGGGCATTTGCCAATTCATGCAATGAAAAGAATTACATCTCTTACTTTTACTCTTCCATATGATTCTAATTGTGTTTTTGATATCTGTCCTTTAGCAAGACAATCCAAGCTTCCCTTTCCCTCAAGTTCCATTAAAACTTCCAAAGTTTTTTGAACTTATTCATGTAGACACTTGGGGTCCTTACAAGTCTCAAACCTACAATGGTTTTCGGTACTTTCTTACCATAGTCGATGATTTCAGCAGAGCTACGTGGACTTACTTATTAAGTACCAAAAGTAATGTTTTTACCATGATCAAATACTTTCTTGATATGGTAGATAGACGATTTGGCAGTAAAGTACAAGTGATTAGGTCTGATAATGCTCTAGAGCTTGGAAGTGGGACTAATAACTCACAATTTTTTCTTTCTCAAGGAATTTTGCATCAAACATCGTGTACTGCCACCCAGAACAAAATGGGTGTGGTTGAAATAAAACATAGACATCTCTTAGAGACATTTAGAGCCCTATTACACCAATCCAAGTTGCCTATTTCTTTCTGGGAGAATGCTTACTGACCGCAACACTCTTGATTAATAGGTTCCCTTCTTCAGTTCTAAAAGGGAAGACTCCATACGAAATGGTGTTTAACAAACTGTCTTCCTATCATTATCTGAGAAGTTTTGGGTTATCTATGTTTTGCTTTTACATTATCTCAAGGCAGACCTAAATTTGCTCATAGGGTTGTCCGTTGTGTGTTCTTGGGATATCCTATTGAGTAAAAGGGATATAAGCTTTTGAACCTCAAAACCAGAAATGTTTTTGTCTCGAGAAATGTTCAGTTTCATGAATCTATTTTTCCTTTCTCTTATCAGTCTTTCCCTCATCCATTGTTTCCTTACACTTCTCCCCCTAGGATGATTCTACACATCCAACACCTCAACATTATGATAATTCTATACTATTCAGACTCATGATATCCTCCTCCTCATTCATATGAAATTTCCTACGGGTATGACTCCACCTAGTCTAGATCATGTTTGTCATCTTAGAAAATCATTATATGGGTTGAGACAAGCATCACGACAGTGGTATTCTCGCCTTGCAGCAACTTTGAACTTTAAGGATACTCATCCTCTCTAAATGATTATTCCTTTTCTTAAAAAAAAGGGGATTCTGTTTGTTGGTAGCAGTTTATTTGACGATTGTTCTCCGGTAATGATCCCA